CCCTTAGGATATTGATAAAAACCGCGATGGGCTCCTCCTGGCATGCTTCAAACACCTTCATCAGCAGGACATCCGATTTGCATATACTCTACCCCCCCTCCCTTTCCCCACGGGCGACAGTTTTTCTCCTTAAAATCCCTCAAATGGCATTGAAACCCCTAGAATTCTGAACAATGCCTAAGGAATTTATTTACTGTCTGCTCTTTTCACGCAGTTTCATTACTGGCAACGCCGCATGTTCTGCATTTCATAGCTGCTCTGCATCAAGAAGGAGTTCAACGGTATTTACCTATCTTTCCCTCAGTAAACCTGACCTGACCTGACCTCTTATCTTCCCATCTATATTCAGCTTTCTAATATGAAGAAAGAAAACACAGATACCGAAAGAGTCTTCAAAAACTAAGTTTCCTCGCATTCAAGGTAGTTTGGCTACAGAGGCCCCATTCGATTTCTTTAGGGGGATGATAATTTGGTTCATAGGTCCAACAATTTCTGAAGCAATCTCCCAGTAGTCATCATGGTCACTTTAAATGTAAGCGTTATTGTGCCTTTCGTAAAAGTCTCCTTCTGTTGACTTTTGCATAATAACTTAAATGGAACACATGGCTGAACTTGCTCTGTAAATCGATGGAAGGCGAGGTTTTCAACTATTTCCTCATGTGCCTACTGAGGTCTCTGAGAGACTATCAATAAACATGCCAGGTGCACTTACCGTGATGGTAACTATACACAAACCATTCAGGTCGACAAAAAAGTTGACGACAGATGAGTTTTCTGATTTAGGAAAAGGAAAGTGGGGGACATTCGGAAACAAAGGGTAGTAATGACCTGCTGCAGAGAAATAAAAGATTTCTATCTGTGTAAATTCTAACCACCATTTGTTTTACATGGAAAAACCTCGAGTCGGACCAAACTGAACAGCTTAGAATTTATATAGACATATTACTAGAACGTGGACTTTATCAAATATTTGTAGTTTCTACGGATCTTAGTAACCCTGATTCTCGGAAACGGTCGTCCAAAGACCGCCAGGTTGTCCTGGCAGACTGCAAGTTGTCCATGCAAGTGCACTAACCCAGTTATACTGAACTGATCACCCAGCTGTCATGACGCTCTGGGTAGACTATGACAACCAGCAATTGAAATATAATCTATCACGCTTTTCTGTTAAACCTTCTAAAATGAGATAATATTAAATTTGTCTTGGCGAAGTGGTAAGTAAAATACGCAGAGTTTTTAGAGATGGGGAACACACACCGCCTTTAAGCTTCTTCCATTCCTCAAAGTCTCTGTCCAGGCGTTTACGTGCTCTGGCATGTCTTATCGCTTTGTTCGCTACCAGCATTGAACCAATAAAAAGGGCTATCTCTTGAACTTTATCCATGCTGGCAAGGAGGTTGTCGACGAAAAGGCGCGTTGCAACATCAGTCAATACATCGGCAGCGATGGATCTGGCCTTCACACGCAATTCAAAACTTTCTTTTATTTGTGTACCAGCTGTGTTGAAAAAAAGAAGAAAGGGATATTCACATAAGAATGAATTCACTTCAATGTTATAAGATATAAACAGTACGGCCTAGAATTCGTGTAACATGCCGACAATGAGAAAGATTGATACTCATTCGCTAAATGGCGTTGAGTAAGGTTGTAATACTGATTATCATGTAGTCTATTCTGAAGTAATTTCAGTTACAATAGGATGCCGGCTTTTTAAAGAGCTTCTTTCTAACCGCTAACACAACGTACGTACTGTAAAAAGTGGCTGCTTAAGTAGTATACATTTTATCATTGATTTTGACTGGCTTTATAAATTCAAGTATATTTTATGGAAAAATATAAACGAAAAAAGTATTTCTTGTACGCGTTTGGTAGGAACTTACGCCTTCTTTAAATGTTATACTCAAAGAGAGGGTAGATTTTGGTTTTAAGAAGTTGCCCATACGCAAAAGGACATTACCGACAAAGACAAGGGAGACCAGGATGGCCATTTCTAGCTTATTAGCCGTCGTCAGCTAGTCGTATCCAACTCAAAAACTGCCCCAGAAATTGGTGCCCCGCTCGAGTTTCGAACCGGCGACGTTGTTATTTAGAAGTCCGATGCTCTCACCACTGCGCCACGAGCTCGCTGTCTTGCCGGTTTTTGATCGGGAATATACAGTGGCAGATAGGTTGCCACTGATCGGGAAGCACATAGTTCAGATGCAAAGATGTGTGCATTGAAGGTTACCAATGACGTTAGGTTTTTAAATCCAACACTCGACTACAAAAGATCCTCTCCTGAGCAAAAGAGCTTTTGTCTCAGTCGCTATCTCAAGCTCGAATTTAGGAATGCAGACAACCATTCTTCCGGTGTTGATTTGTACTAATTTCTGTATGAAATTAAAAGAAGACATATTTTCCTACCAACCAAATATAAAGAAATAATATTTTGTGCATGTTTTCTATGAAATATACTTAAATTTCTAAGGGCAGTGAAAATCCATGAGAAACTGCATACTGGTCGATGAACGTTCACCGATCGCTAACGGAACTCACTTGTCCTGTTCCGCCTTTACCTTGGGCTTCTTTTCTCGGGCCCTTACAGCAGTTATAATGGCTAGTATTATAGGCAGATAGTATTTCCGGCATCGACAAGGGAGACTGGAATGGCAACTTCTGGCTTATTGGCCGTCGTGAACCAGTCATACCCAGCCCCAAGCGGTGCACCACTCGGAGCACGAACTGGCGACTATTTCGACCAGAGTCTAACGCTCTAACCATCGATCTACGAGTTAGTTGTCTTGCCGGTTTAGGTCGACCGCTTACGGAACGCACTTGCGCGCTCTGTCTTAGGTTTCATTTATCGGGCCCTAACAGCAGTCGTAGCGGCTAGTAGTCTTAGGCAGATAGTTATCTGTCGGTGAAGGTAAATCAACGAGTGTCAATACCACCCGATATAGCTCGGCAAGGCAACGAGCTCGTGGCTCAATCGTCAGTGCGTTAGACTCTGATAAAAAAGGTTGAGTCTAGGGTGCTTCACCACCTGGGGTTGGGTATGACTGGCTGACGGTGGCTTATGAGCCTGAAATGGCTATTCCAGTTTCTCTTGTCTTTGGCGGCAATATTATCTGTTGTTTAGTTGTAAAACGGAAAGACAGACTCTGCAACGGAGACCTGCTTTTAGGCAAGCCCAGATGATAGTAAGCAGTCTGCAATGGCAGTGAGCTTATCAAAGACTTTGATTTCCCCACCACTCATTTCTTACAATTCTCAAAAGCGATTCCGAATACTTGGAAATTTATGCATAAGCAAAATGTGATCGAGGCAGACTCAGAACGCTAATAGAAATGGGTTCCCAAACTTGCTTCGAAGGATATGGTTTTGCCGTTTGTAATATGTGAAGGCTATGCAATTTGTTTGAAACTAAGTTGCTAACGCTCTCCCACATTTGACCTCCATTGTTGCCAACTAAGGAACGGCAAATAGTGTCTGATGATTTATAATCCATTTACAGGGATCTGAATTTGAACTCCCTAAGTATAATTTGTCTTGTTGATTTAGGTTGGAGAAGGGAAAGCGTCGGCTTTGATTGCCTAGTTGTTGGTCTTGTGAATGCCGTCCTTCTTCCCCGCCTTCCATAATCATAGCATAGCCAGTCATTTATCACCCGTCAGTACCCTAAAGGACAAATATCTTAAAATGCTGCTTCGTCTTTATTTCGAGAACTTAGAAGCAAAAGATTTTTTGGAATTTAAAACCAGTTATTTCAAATCATGCGTGAAAGGTTAGGCGGAATTATAGTCAGAGGATCCAGAGAGTTTGGAAAGTAACTGAACGGGAGTATTTGTCGTACGTATTTGAACGAAGTCTGATTTAGGCAGATGAAAATTTCTGGCAAAGACCAGGGAGAGTGGAATGGCCAGTTCTGGCACATTAACCATCATCAGCCAGTCATACCCAAGATGCGAAATCCCAGGCTCGAACCCGCAACAGTAGTCCAACGCTCTAACAATTGAGCCACGCACTCACTGTCTTGCCAGTTTAGATTGGGAGATATTGACATTCGTTGATGAAAACTAGCCGATCGCTAACAGAACTGACTCGTCCCGTTTGGCCTTGGGCTTCACTCTCGAGCCCTGCTAGCAACCGCATAAAGGATGGCAGTGTAGGCTCAATAGTTAAAGAGTTAGAGTTCTAGTCGACGGGTTGCGGCCTTGCAGCTCGGGTGGTAAAACCACCTGGGATCGGGTAGGATTGGCTCGCGACAGCTAATGAGTCAGAAACGGCTCTTCCCGCCTTTTTTAATCGTTGCCGCGAAATTTTCATCTATTGAGAGCTAGTTGCTATCTCAAAACCAGAAGGATCTCCAAATAACAAGTCTGGAAAGACTGATTGAA